TATTAATTTTGTTTTGCGTTTTTTGCGGCTACGCAATGCGGAAAACGCATATTGACGAGAGGCTGTCTGTGTGTGTATGTGTGTGTCCGCGTGTGTGTGTGTCCGTGTGTGCGCAGGGCCTCTGTACCGATTTTTCATCTCGAGACCTACAAAAGCTACAGGGCTGGAACTTTGGGGACTCAATCTACATGCACATACGGGCCCCCATCCCCAAAATTGGCAGACTTTCCCGCGTGGTACCCGCGTACGAGCCTGTCAAGTCTTTTTCACGGGTAAGCTGCTAACTCGCGAACCAGAAAAGCCAGAGAGCTGAAATTTTAAGGGGATGTCCCCTGTCCAAGTAGGTACTAGTAAGCCCAAAACCAACCGCCGCGGGCCCGCCAAATTCTTCCTGGATAAGTTCATAACTCGGGTATCTGAGAAGTTAGAACGCTGAAACTTTAGGGTGGTGTTCCCCGTCCAAGTGGGTATTAACGAGTTCAAACCCTGCCCGCGCGTAAACGTGGTACCTATGTACGGGCTCGTAAAAGTTCCTTTTGCTAACTCGAGAACGTGTGAAGCTAGAAGACTGGGATTTTGAGGGGATGTTACCTGACAGTTCTGGCGGCCAGCCTGAAATTCTTTTGGCTAAAAGCATCCGCCGGAAAAATCAGTGCCGTTAGGGACAAAAATCTGCAGGGAGCTATGCAAAAAAACGCATCTTCGCTGGGCAGCCCGTGCGTTGGCCAATTATCATTTCTGGAACAGCAACACTGCGCGGTAAATTAATGTGTATGAAGATCGGACGTGTTCAGCGTTCACGCAATTCCTATGCAAAGTGATGTCTTATAAGGTTTTCTTAAAACGTAGTGTACTAAATGTACTATTGTAATGTAGTGCTGTTTAGATGTACACTGTCAAAATGTGTGTTCCTCAAAACGTAAAGACTTAAAATGTGTGCCCCTCAAAATGTGTTCCTCAAATCGAAGTACGTGGATCGGATAAAAGCACGCACAAAACGCATAAAAAGTGTACACGTCCGACTTGTGCATTACGTCATGTGTGCACTACGTTTGTATACACCTCCGAACCCCGACCCTTCCCAACTCTCACCCGCACAACACCTCTCCCGGTCCCCAACCCATCCCCAAACCCTCCCAGCCCCAACCCCAACCACTGCTCATCCCCACCCTCACCCCCAACC